AAAAGTCAGAAAAAAGAACAAAGAAAGATGAACAGACAAAAGAAGAGGAAAAAGAAAAGAAAATAGAAAAAATAAACCGAACGAAGAAGAAAGCTAGGAAGACAATTGATATGCTTGTCACAGAAGAGAGAAGACCCTTCTAGTATGGCTTTAAGTAGTTAGACAAGCAGTCTATCTCTAACTAAGATAGTGTGGCAGGTTACACTTAGGTACCAATAGGGTGGCCGAGTGATGCTAGACTTAGGTATTGGAAAATTCTATGTAATTATAAATGTATATAGTTTTATAAAATAAAACCCTAACACTAACCCCATGTGATATTGACTAAATAAACTTTTAGTAAAATGACTGTCAGTAAAGTAAGCAGCACTGTTTAAACAATAACATCTTCTAATATATAAGAGGCTTGATTACTAATTGATACTTTCTTTATTACTCAATATAAAAATACAATGTACAAAAAATACAGTGCCAAGATCAAATAATAATGTCAAATGATTTTAATGGTTATAATATAAGTGCAAATACAAAAATAAATGATTTCAATATAATAAAAAGGTGAACTTTTTAGAAACCAAACCTTTTATTAAACATTTCAAAGTTTTTAAACTCCAAGAGTTAATTTTATTCAAGATGAATTTACATTGCTTGAATATATAAAGATTTGATTACTAATGCTAATTCTATCTTTCATTTTTAGCAACTATATCAGGTTCATAAGAATTATAGCAGTCAACATTATACAAAAGAAGAATTAAAGATAACTTTGTATTTAAGATCAAGTTATCTTTTTTATATATACATTTTCACAAGTATTATTAATACATTTTGAAGTACTAACATTTTTTATTTTTTATTTTTTTTACTAATATTTTCCATTTAACTAATTGTACTAATAATAAAAAGAAGGCTACAACTATTGACCTAAAATTATCTTTGAAGTTACAACATTCAATCCTTAAATATATAAAAAATACAGTATGTAATTAAAAAATCAAAAAAAAAAAAAAATCAAAAAAAAATATTATAGGCAATTCTTTTTAAATAATTTGTAAAAGAATAGTCATTTTGACTATTAAATACTGACAAAACATGCCTTTCAGAATTAACAATGCACTTAGACTGAAAGGGATAAGGTTTACTACACAAAACTCTTTCTATTTGCATATTTGTCTGGTGTTGTTCTTTGTGCATTTTTTCTATAATTGTATAAACCCCAACATGGGGTTTTCAAATTATATTGTTCTACCTATTGTGCCACCTCTTGACAACATTTTGTATCCTAGGATAACCTTGGGTTACAAGTTCAAACATGGACCATAATGATGGTAAAAATTTTAATGATGCATGAATTATATTTCTATTTCTGAGTTGTTGTCTAACTTTTCTGCAAATATAATTTTTTTCAAAATATTTGACAATCTAAACTGCATAAAAAGGAATTTGTAATTTAATTTGATCAAAAGCATTTGGTATTTCAGAAGGTGAGAGAAAAGCAAGCATTGTTAGTTAATATAATTCTATACTGAATTCTTTATTAGTGCTATATTTGATGAATAATCCTGCAACTTGGATTTGCCTTCATAAATTTTGACAAAAGTAAAAAAAGCAACATTTATTTCTTGAATTTGGAAAGTTTAAACAGATAGCATTCATTGCAGACTGTTCAAAGTCTGTAAGAATAATTGGCAGATTCAGATCATAACCAGCCTCCTCATCTAAATTAGAGATATTAACTATTAGTTGGATTTTAATTATAGTTATACCTAGAGTTTGGATCCAGTTTTATTTTTTATATATTAACCTTGTTTTTAATTAGTTTTAACATAAAAAAAAAAAATCTATTCCAAACTCTAGTTATATCTGAATTATTACTTTTTTTTTTTACTAAATATCTTTTATTTTTGTTAATAAAATCAACTATTTCTAAGTGTAATTTGTTAGGATCGGAATTAAAGTTGTATTTAAAGAAAAGTCATACTTAGAGAAAGTTGACTATATATATATAAAGATTTTATTCTACTAATATAAAGTATGGTATTTTCATACAGTAAATATTCATATATCAAACAATTAGACTTTAGTTTAAAATAATGCACATGTGCATACATGAAACAATATATATGTGTATACCCAAAATAACATATATATAAAAATGTACAAATGGGCATTATTACACAAAAATACAGTAAATATGAAAATAACTAAAGTTTATATAATAAAAGTTAAATAAACTAATATTTTTATCTAAATTAATTAGTTATTGAAATAATTGTATATAACTTGCCTCAAACTTATTTATCATTAAAACATATGCTAGTAGAAAAATGTGTAAATTACTTTCTCTCTAACTGGAGCATATATAGTATACAACTGCTGGAATAGTATTGGCACTGTCCAAAAAGTTACATCTATAAGCCAATACCTGGCTTCTTCTAAATATTGAAGGTTGTTTGTTGTATAAAAAATTATTATATTTTTATTATCAAACTCAATTTCTTTGACAAAAAACCTTTCTTCCTGAACAGTTGTATATAACAAAGCCAGCACATCAAAATCCTTTAATAATTGCAGCTGAGAAAGTAAATCTTTATGTTTAACATGTGAAATCTGTTTGCAGATAGCTTCAGTATTCGGCATATAGAGAAGAAATGTTTTAGGCATGTTGATGATAGAATTTTGGATGATTTGAGCTAGGTTTTCATATATCTTTAAGACCTTTTCTTTAATATTATTAAGCACTTGCATTACATCTGCACAGTTAGCTTTAAGAGCATGTTTATGCTTGCTAAATTTTTTTAAAACATGATTTTGCTTTTTCAAAACAGTTATTGCATGTTCTTTACAATTTTTCAGAGACTTATATTTACAATACTAATAATAATTTTTATTAATATTCTTTTCTTTTACAAGGATGTATTTACAAACTATAATTTTTTTATTGCCACATATGGACTGAACTATATAAATTTTATAATCTATTGAATAATTGATTATTTGACAATTTTATGTTATTTAAAGAAATTTTTATATGAAATTTATAATACTGACAATAGTTTTTTAAAGATAAAGATTTAAAAATCTTATCGAGTTATTAATAACTCAATTTAATGATTTATTAACTTTGAAATTGCCCTTCTTATATATATTTGATATGGTCTTTGAAGGAAAATTCTATTCCCTTCTATCATTTAATCTTGTGCTTTATCTTTGGGCTATGCTATGAGAGTATTTCCTTATTCTATTTTTAAATAAGTTGAATTTTTTTAATCTTGAAATTTATTATGAACTCTATGTACTTTTTTAGATTTATTATATTTTATTTTTCTTTATGACAATAAGAATTCAATAATTTACTGAGAGTCTATTTTACTAACATTATGCAACATGTTAATTTAACATATTATTCATTTCATAATTATTCATAAATTATCAATAAACAGACTATTAGTAAACTAATTATATGTGAAGTTGTTTAAGATTTATCTTAGCCCACTCAGAAACTTCACTCATTTTAGATTTATTGTGCTTTGTAATTTTTTTAATCATTTCACTAAAAACTATTTTGCAGATATCATATAATTATCTTAATTATAAATTTCATATTGCATAATATTGATAACTAACTATCAGTAAAATAACTACATTCAAGTACCCTAGCCATGATGAAAATGAAGTGTCAGGTTATATAATTTCTAACACTCTAAATAATTATCTACCAATCAGAATTCAGAATCTGGTATAAGATGAAATTTTATAAAAACAATAAAGTTTTTTCAAAAATTATAAATAGCTTAAAATTTTACTTATTAAATTATCTTCTGCACTCTAATTAAAAAAATTTCTTGCAAAATTTTACTATATAATATGATTTTCTAACTCTAAATATATAGTTTTTTCCTGTTGTCTTCAATTGTTTTAATTTTTAGATATCAGACCAGATGCTTCAGAAATCACATGATCTAACATCTTATTTTTGCCATAGTTAGGATACTAAACTCATTCAAATTGATGTAAGTACAGACATCTACATGATCTGGTCAAAGGTAACATTGCAACTTGGAATGACATATGATAATTAACTAATCTTTATAAGAAGGTTCTAAATATGGCTGTGAATCAACTGCTGCATATGCAAATATCAATGCTGAACAGAATTAGTACAAGATAGTTAAATATATGTAAAGTTAATACTCACAATCAAGAACAATTAATTTCTTAGTAAAAAACAAGCAAAGTTGCAATCCAATCTCTTCTTCCAATTAAAAAAAAAAAAGATCTTGAAATTTTTATAATAATTACTGTATTTTACTATTCATCTTTTCACATTGACGGCTAGCCTGCATAATACAGACAAAAAACAAATGGCAATGCTATACAATACAAACTTAACTGCCTATGATGATCTGAGCACAATCTCAGTTGCTATTTTCTAGGATACTATATATCTGTTTTAGTTTTAACTATGCTTAAATCATATTTTCATTTACTAAATAAAATCTTATCTCTAATATATTAGGCTGGATTATTCCAACTATGATATGCATATAATGCTTTTGATATCTTTAATTATTTTTTCTAATTTTAGTTAGCATATTTAAACTTATATTGTTTAGTTATAGGTTTTATTATATAGCAATAATCTTCAAAATTTCAAAATAAAATCCTGATCAGCTGAGTTGATATATATTATTACAGGCAAATTCAGTACCTCCTAGATTATAAAAACCTGCTCAAAATAGATACTATATAAGCTTTCAAATCAAAGCTGCATTAAATTATTATAATTACTAAGCTTCAGAACAATTATTGTTAATGGACTCAAAAGAAAAAGAAGATTGACATTAATCTGATTGACATAATAAAAGCTAAAATGAGTCAATAGGTTTGTGATTACCTTGTGAAGTAAAGCTTGTGGCTATGTACAAGCAATTTCATATGTCTGTATGATTTTACATAATAAGAATGTTTGTTAGAAGCAATTTGAAAGCAAATGTTGATCAAAGAAGAAAGACTATAAAAGAAAAGAAAGATAAAAAGTTAGTAAAAAAAGAAAAAATCAGTTTTTAATTAATAGGAAGAATGTAATAATATTTGAATAATGCTCTAAACCTGTGCCAAATTGTATTACTTCTAATTACATTAAATAACATTAAACAGCATCTTTCTTTTTAAATTGACAATTTGTTACTTCTTTCTTAATTTTTGGTATATGTTGTAGTGGCTCTTTTGCCTGCAACAGTATCAATATCTAGAGCAAAATTATTGAATCGATGAATTAAATCATTAATCTAGTATAGATATTTTTATTTTTCTCATTTATTTAATAAATTGTTTTGTTATATATTAGTAAATTCACCATTTTTAGATTTATATACATGTCTAAATTATAGATATTAGATGAATCCATCTTCAAAAATAGTAAAAGACGATACTTAAACTAAAAAAAAATCTTCTAGCAAACAGTAAACCAACTGATAAAACTGAAACTATTGTAAAACATCAAAAACCTAGTAAAAATATTCTACAAAAAGTGTTAACTTTGTGATTTTTAAGCCATTCAGAATTAAATTATAACTATACAAATAACAATAAATATTTTCTCTAGCTTTAAGACTGCAGAATTAATATTTTTTAACCTAAACTTAGGATCATTAATTAGATAGTATTAAGGGAAATACTCAGCTATTCATCTGTTACTTGCTTTAAAAACTGAAGCAGACAATAATAAATTCAGATTAACAATATAAAAAAGAGTTTTTTAAAAGATATGTACAAAAAATTAACAAAATGCACATTTTGTACATATTAACATGTTTTTAAATTTATCAGGCTTTGAAGTATAGTATATTCAATTAGATTATTTAATGCAATTTTTTTTATTGCACATGTTTAAAAAATTTAAACCTGAAAATATGTTTGATCTCTATAAATATAATTTTTTCAAATGTTCTCTGAATGCAAGTTGCTAAAAGTCTGGTCTTAATAAATTGCATTTAGAAAAGATTGATTGTATAATTTTTTTAAAGATTTATTTTTTTTTATTTTTTTTTTTAAATATTAAGGTGAGTACTTGTGACCTAGGATTTTATTGATAGTATATTTGGCTAATGATTGCATTACAATTACAGGAAGCAATCATAAAGAAAGTGTACAACTAGCCACTCATATAACTTTAGTTATTGTCTAATTTAAGTAGTCTGCCCAAAGATTCTATACTAGCTGCTATACCTGAAACCTACTTGAAGGTTCTCTATTTAATCATTCTGTCTCTATATCAACCTACCTACTTCTGCCTACCAATAACCCTGGCTGATGCTAGTGAAAATATGCTATGACTACTAAGTCTTTAAAGCAGTTCACTCATATAGTGAATCTTTGACCTTGTACTAAACCTTTTAGAATCTTCTGTATCTTATTCTTACAGCTAACTTGGTATCACTATAGCTGAAACTAATACTGGTAATTAGGACATACCATTAAACTACTATGCCCTTGTAGAGTTCATCCTAATTCTGATACTGACTTCACAACATATCCTTACTACTTTGGTATTTAATTCAAATTTCACCAAGTTGTCATTCCAAATAGCCCAGAAAGGTATAATGAGACTATACCTTTGGTTTACATATTTGTTAGCATGTACTCTTTTCTTCTAAAATCCAAAAATTCTAGCAGCCTGGTTGGTTCATCTGGTCCCTTCTTAAAAACTAGCATATTTGTTTAGTTTCACAAGTTTTAGCTCTGTTTCATAAGTTTAGTCTTTACAGTAGCACCATCAAAGGTTTTTTAAAGATTTATTTAAATATTATTACAAATATAATACTATAGTAAATTAAATAAAATTATTTATTTACATATAACTTTAAAGATCTGTTATAGCAAGAACAACAAACATTAAATACTATGTTAGTAGTACATCTGAACTACTCTAAATAATCTAAGTAGATAGCAACAGAAATATTAAACAATATGCAAATGACAAAAATTTAAAAGAATACTTGTTATATTAATAGTTGACTCTAGAAGTATTACTTGACTTTAATTACTGATTGCATTTGCTTTTTTATTATTTTTTTTTATGTATTATTCTTATTATTCTAATGATATAGCTTGTTCAATATTGTAAATTGTAGTTTTAATTAAAGTAATAGCATTCAATTTATTTTATATTTGAACTTTTATTTCTGATTTTATATAATAATATTGTATAACAACCTTACTATTAAAAATCAAGCAAAATGAGCAGTTTTAGAATGTTATTAAATAGAATTGAAGTTGAAAGGATGAAAACATTTATTTATTTTCAAAAATTTTTGTTAGAATGATGTTGCTAGAATGTCTTAGGTTAGTTATTATATCAAGATATTTGGATACAAAAAGCCAATTATAATTTTTTGATTGTGCATTTATCTTATTTTTTTAATAAATTAGCTAAATTCTAATTAGCAAATAAATAACCAAATTTATACTATTTGTTGGAACATAAATAAGATTATGTATTTTATCCTGTTTGAAAAATATTTTTCTATAAGATTTCTTGTCTAGAAGATATTCTGTTGAAGAAATAAGCTATAAACTTATTGTTGAAGAAAAAGCTTTCATTAATACTTCTTGCTAAAAAAACAAGATTTTATAGAAAAGACCTTGTTAGTGAAAAAGAT